GTCTTTCGAGGCAGTACCGGTCTTGTCTGGGAGGACAGCAACACAGAACGGGGACATCAACTGACCATCGTCAGTCATAATATGCCCCAAAGCCTTTCAAAAAGTCATTTCGAGTCAAAATCCAAGTAGAATGCGAGGCGTATCTCGAAAAAGGGATAGATCAACGTCCAACTTTCAAGTATTCATCCATTTTTTCATAACTATCATGTGGACGCTAATCGAAGAAACTTGTGCCCCCGACAGGAAAGCGGTTTCTCGTGCTCTCCAGGCAGATGGAATTATTTAGATGATTCGGATTTCAGGCGCCATCGCAAGATACAGGGGCATGCTCAAGGACTATGTATAGGAGGGAGAAGGAACTTAGGGAAAATGTAGATCTGGTGAATCTTCACCCCTTTCTGAGGCTTAGCCCTGTTCTAAAAGGAATTGGTGTTTTACGCGGTTTCAAGTGCATTGCCACCACAATGCCCCCGTATCTTGTGATAGCGCCGAATTTTATTCTCGCGCTATCCATGTTAACCGCTCCATTCCACCCTTTCATGCACCACTAAATATCGAATATCTCCAGTATCGAATCCCGCCGAAGCATCATACATCTTCTAATCTGTTTTAAAGGACGAATTCACGATGAAAAAGCAACCCATTTCAAATTAACCTAGGGATGGTGAGTGGTACACGAAAGAAGGAAGAACCATGAGAAACGGCCCAGAACCCGAGAAATGGGACCCCTTCCTTGCCCGTTGACTTTGGTGCCAATCGCGCTTCAGTCCGCACCCTTAGGAGGTCCGCGGGTCCCTCAACTAGGTGGAATTACTCCTTCTTCGACTTTCATTCTAATCGTGAATTCGTCCTTTAAGAGAGCGAAGTAGGTGAGGGGGCAATGTCTGAGGAATAGGGTGGACAGGGAACCGAGTCCCAGTCCAGCTCCTCGCATGGTTCCCTTCAGGTATATGGGGCCTAACGTTATCGTGGAGTAAGTAGACAGAAGCTCGTCCAGGTCGTTTTTCACGAAATCTTTGCTGATGGTGATTGGCGTAAGTGTTGCCGGTGAAGATGTTCCCTTACGGAGCAGCTCATAATACAACATTCCTCGCGAATCCCAGAGCAAAGAAGACAGTTTTTGGGGTGAAGGTCCGATTTTGCTTGTGTCGGCGGGTCTTCTCCTCGAGGGAGCCACACGGCACTGTGCTTGTTAGAATCGTAGAGGACCCAACTCTCATCTCTCGTAATCATGCCTTCCAAAAACTCCTTTCGGTGCGGACGAAGAAGGAGAAACTGACAAATGGGTACCCGCCTGAACCGCGTGCTATCGGTCAAGACATGAGGGATCCATCGAGTCAGCACTTTCCTGTGGCGAGGGCGTGGAGGGGACCGAGGACTGTGGGATGGGTGCACCCGAGTCTTATCACAAGGCTGCGGGTGCTAACTTCCGGATCCTCTTCGAACGGGTTTGTGTGAAGTCTTCCGCTAGTTTGAAGGCTTCTCAAACTTGGTTTCGCAAGTCCGTGTCTCCTCCTTTGAAGCCTGCGAACCAGAGCTTGGCACTGATGATGGAAGTGGTGTCCCTTCCCAATGCGATGCTGATAATGTTGACGGTTTCCACTGCTCCTGTGCCGCAGCGCCATTCATTGAAGATGATCGCTCGAAAGTGCTCTTGTGGAATCGACATCATGATTAAAGTTAAAGAAGGCAACCCGGCTATATATACCTACTGCGGAGAAAGTAGGATCGCAGGGATAGCTTTGTCGTTATGATTGCCAGCGATCAATCCCGTGGCAGATCTAAGGTCTCGATCAATAAGCGAAGTTATGAAACTTCAGAAAAAAGCCGTTCAAGACTTTCTCAAAGACTTTCTCACCATCCCAAGTGACTAGTGGATGTAGTTGAAGCAAAAAAGACTCAAAAACGAAATGGAAATCTCTGCAACCCTTGTATGAACCTTTGTAGAATTGCTGGCAAACGTCGCATTCGAGTTGAGAGTAAATCGAACTTTAAGTGCGCTCTAACCTTGTGACAGCTCTTCCATTCAGGAAGCAGACATTTGAGCTTTCTGTACCAACAGCATGGAAATCAATAGCGATAGAGGTGAATATCACCGCGGAATTAGACTAGCTGACAGCTGGAACTCTTTGAACAGACACATATTTATTTTCACAGTTTTTTTTAATTTTTCTGTGTGAATAATTTATTGGATGCCTTTATTTGTGCAAACGGATCCCATTCCAGTGACAATGTGAATCGCAAGGGCAAAAGATCCGCATCACATTGAACAGTATAAAACGGTCTGGCCACCAACGGATCCAGCACAACATTTCCTGGCTTCTCAATGAAGCTGCCTAGTTTACACCCTCCCTCTAGTCTTTCTTTGATTGTTTCTTCCATGTTCCGAGCACCATCAGACTAACTGAAGCAATTTGAATTTTTTAGTATGCAGGCAGCTCTTGTCGCGTTCGTCTTCGCTGCTGTGGTGCCCTGTGTTCTCGGCCAAGTAGGGCAAGGTGGACCAGGCGCACCTCCTGGGCCAGGACCTCACGGACCCCCTGGACCAGGCGGACCAGGACCTCACGGAGTTCCAGGACGTCCACGGCATCATGGACATCGCGGTCTTCACAGGCCCCTAGAGCCGCCATATCTGGAAAATGTCAGCGAAGAGGCTCGCAAAGATTATTTCAAAATTATGTTTAATGATAACCTCACGGTTGCTGAAGAAAAGGAGAAGCTTGAGGAATGGGCAAAGGAATATAAAGTAGAGGTGGGACCATTAAACAGACTGGAGAGCTTATGTTTGGGCAATGTCATCACTACGCGACTTTTTAGGACCAAGTGAAGAAATTCGAAGAGCATATGGAAGAAGTGAAGAAGAATGTTACAGAGCTGATCGATTCCTTGCCAACAGCTTTGAAAGAATTTTCTGAAATGCTAGAAGACCCTAATCTGAATCATCGAGAGATTGCTGAAAAACTGCGTGCTTTCATCAAGACAAATCCACAGGTGAAAGGCTGTAAAATCTGAAACTGAGATTCTTCTTTTTTCATTCGGAGATTCCCATAAGGCCAACCACATTCCAAAGTATAAATTCCTCTTTGCAGGCTTTCCGTGTGGTTCGATTCGCATTTGAGCAATTTATGCCAAGCATGGTCCACATGGTCCACATGGTCCACATGGTCCACATGGTCCACATGGTCCACATGGTCCACATGGTCCACACGGTCCACATGAAGGCGGACCTCGTCACCGTGGAGACCGACATCATGGTCGACACGACGACTTCTCTAGTTGACTTCGCTTTAACTTCACTTAATAAATATTTTTGCTATATCGCATAGAATGGCTTTCCATAAACGGTCAATATCGGTCAAAAAGGAGGCGACAGTGGGCCGTTTCTGAACAGATAGCCCATACATGGTATCCGGGTGTTACTCAGGCTGGGCAAGATTACCACATTTCGTAGGTCGTTTTCGTAGGTGACGGAGTCGCTGTAAACACTCATTTCTTACTGTTTACACTATTGGTATTGATCGACTGTTTACAATGTTTACTGGACAATAATTGCACTCCCTGGTGAAGAGCAGTCGGTCGACAGCTTACTCAGAACTGTTGCCTTTTTAGAAGGCCTCGCATACGTTACGCATCAAAGAATGGATTGATTGATTTCGAACACTTTATTATTTTTGTCATTTATAATATTCACGCAATATTTATCCTCTCTGCAAGTTCGAGGCCAGTAGCATGCCTCTCCAACATCTGGTTTTACCTGTTCTAAAGATACAATAGTTCTTTGTTATGACCTGGTTTATTCAAAGTCAATCCTTCGACGATAGAGGAAAGCTCGTTCAATGAACGCATTCTTTTCTGAGAGGCAATAACTGGTAATTTGAGTGACAATCATGGCATCCAATGAGAAATCTTTTAGAAATAAATGGCAGTAAATAATTTAGAGAGACTAAGAAAACAATGGCAAGTAATGCTCTTGTACCGAAGCTTGGTACGAGCGATAAAATTAATAGGAAAATAAAAATGAGACATGTATTGAGAACAAAAACAAAGCTTCGGGGATAAGCATATGTGGTGACGAGTCCTCCACATCTGGTCGTCACCAAAACGTCGCTCAGGCAGATGATACAAATATTCTGAAGGAAGTTAGTTATTCAGTAGACACTTTAACTGGTTTGTTATCCATTTCTACTTGGACCTAGTTTTTACAGATTCCAA